AACCAGAATTTTACAAAAGCTGTTAACAGGGGTACTAAGAATTCTTGAGTGGAAGAGCGTTTCTTTACAGTAGGACTTCTAAAGGGCATTAGGATTCTCTGTTGCCTCCTCACCAGCTTTCTGTATTCCTTTCGTCCCTTGTTACGGAACCTGGACTGGATCCCGGCAGAAGAACCAAGTGCCACGCAGGGACTTTGGAGGATCGGAGGTTTATGTAACACCGGCGGGCAAGGAGGAGGTTGTTCTCCAAAGGTCTGAGCCCCAAGCACAAACAGGGAGGGGAATTTCTACCCTTCTACTTCTGCATACTTGGTACTTTCAGTGCGCATGGGAAATGGGATAGGAAAGAAGACCCCGGGGGGTTTGAGAAAGAGACTGGAACTGCCTTGCTGGTTTGGTCAGCTATCTTAGGGTACAGCTTTTCCCTATCACCCTGAAAGCTTAACCAATCCTATCTGTACAAAGAGTGAATGTGAATAAATTAGAAGAACATCTAAAACTTAAATGCTCATTGAATGTCATTTGCTCATTAACTACAATCACATAGTTGTTGAAATCCCAAAACATGTTCAGAAGTACCACAGGGCTCCAAAGAAGACTTGGAAAATTCCTGAACTGGGTGATTTTAAAGTCCAAGTAAACTCTGTGGATATCATTTTGTGCTGTTCTACCTAGTATTTGTTCTACCATGTCTCTTCTTTTAAATATATTTTTAGGGTAGCAATCTCTAGGTTATATTGTAGGAAGCACTGGCCTATTTCAGAAACAGACTCTTAAAGTGTTAGCCCAAACTAGTAAATCATTCTGCATCAGGACTTAGTCATTTAGCATTACATTAGAAAATCCATTGTGGTGGGGGCACTTGGGTGGCTCAGTTGGTTAAGCATCTGACTTTGGCTCCGGTCATGTTTTCAGGGTCCTGGTGTCCAGCCCCTTGCCGGGCTCCCTGCTGAGAGGGGAGACTGCTTCTCCCTCTCCTTCTGCCCTTCCCCAGCTCATGCTCTTTCACTGTCTCTTTCAAATAAATAAGTAGAATATTTAAAAAAAGAAAAAGAAAATCCATTGGGAAAATAAATGTAAGAAATAATTTAGATGAATGAAGTTAGAATTATGTACTTTCCCAATTGATTTGAAATTCCTCCTATAAATAAAAATATATACCCCATTAGCTTACAGGGTATATACTGAACCCTTTTAGGTCAGTAGAAGATTTCTTCAATTCATCTTTGTAACTCATTATTGTTGAATGAAGTATTGGGAAATAAATTTATTGTATACCTAGTGTACTACCTTCAAGATGTACACAAGGCTTTACAAATACGATCGTATTTGAGCTTGAATTTAAAAGGTGCATACAAATTCCACCAAGTAGAAGAGGCAAAGGGAGGATCAAAGAGAAAAAGTTCCTCTACAAGCACAGAGGCCTGAAAGACAGCAAATTTGGGGAACGGCAAGTGGTTCTTGGTGCCTACAGGTTAACGTAACTGTGAAAGAGTGGCCAGTAATAAAGGTGGGCAGCGAGGAAGTAGGTAGGTCATGAAGAGCCTGTAAATAAGAACTTCTGGCATATTCTGTACATAAGTATTTCATCATGGAAGAAAAAGAAGAGGGGCCAATCTCTGTATGCATACAGGGAATGTTGCTGGCTTTTAACAGAATATTATTAATTATCATCTTGTGTTGGACAATGACAAAAAAATTATACTCGATATCAAGCATAATTTTATTTCAGATACCAATACAATACAAATTTTTGTTGATTAATATGACCTAATCATAAAATGTGTTGATTCCTATTTGTCAAATGGTAGCTTGATAAGAGAGATAAACATGTAAGCTGATAATGATTAAATTCCTCATCTTCTTGAATGGGGCTCAAGAATTTGACAATCCCTGTGTCTGCTCTACCAGCCTATGCAGACGAGCCCCAGAACTAGAACCGCTTCCAATGGCCTTGGGAGTGGAGTGGGGAGCGGAGGTGAAGAGCTGGGGCTCTGGTGGTTAGCATTTTATGCGCAGGCTGTTATGATGAATCACTGGGACACAAATGCTACTCCCCCTCTAGCCACCCACCCCCTTCACCTAAGCAGGATCTCAGACAGGGTCTGAGAGCACGACTGGTCCCATCCCCTCGGCCGCCCTGAGCACTGCCTCTGCGGCCAGGCATAGCCCTCCATGCTCAGTTGACATCTGCCCCATCTATGACCACACCCTTCCCCAAGGCAACAAAAGGAAAGATACACAGAATAGGCAGACACCAAAGCAGGCTGGGTTGCTTCCTCTACTTTCCCTGAGAAACTTGACAAATGTTTTCTCTTCTTTGCTTTTAAAGTTCCAGAAATGAAAAGTACTCAATCTGCTGGACCCATGAGGGGGGGGATAAGGGGTTTTTTTTGTTTGGTTTTTTTTTTTTTTTTTTTTCAGTGTTCATCCCTGCCCAGATTCCTCCTGCTAATTCCAAGGAACCATCTGCATCAGGCTGCTAATGAGTTTGGACGTGGCTCTCTGCACACGAGGAAGCCACTGGAAGTTGTTACGCAGGGAGTTATATAATCGGATTTGTGATTTAGCGAGGCAGCTCTGACAGAAGCTGGGATGGGAGAAAGCAGGCCCTGTGACGAGAGAGGTCAGCTTGAAGCCTCTGCGATGGTCTGAGTGACGCTCAAGCTCTGTCCAGCTGCAAAGGTCGTGAGGTGGAAGGAAGTAAGGCTGGCCGGTGAGCAAGGGGAAGATGTGGAGGTGATGCCAGGGCTTCAAAGCCCATGGCTGGGAGGCAACTGACCACCTGGTGAGGAAGGTTGGCTAATCTCATCACCTCATCCACAGTACTAGAGACATGGATCTGAAGCCGGGGAGGTAAGCCCTTTCAAGATTTGGATACATATTCACAAAGTATACCCCAAAAAAGTCCATCAACTTACTCTTTTACTACCAGCAGATTGGAGGCAGCAAAGAAAAAATGGTTCCTGACACTGGAGCCAGAAAGGGTTCAAATCTTGACTTTGCCATGAAATCACTATAGGATTTTTGGATAAATTACTTTAGTACTACATGACTGTGTCCCCACCTCTTAAATGAGGGGAGTAACAAAACCCAGCTAAGTACCCTGAGGCTTAAATAAGCTGTCATGGAGTGCCTGGGTGGCTCAGTCTGTTAAGCATCTGCCTTTGGCTCAGGTCATGATCCCGGGGTCTGGAATCAATGATTCTGGGATCCTGGGATCCAGCACCACATGGGCTCCCTGCTCAGCGGGGAGCCTGCTTCTCCCTCTGCCTCTACCCTTCCACCCCCTCCCCTGATTCATGTAAGCGTGTGTGCTCTCCCTCTCTCTCTCTGTCTGAAATAAATGAAATCTTTAAAAACTTCCCTAAAAAAATGAGTTGTCATGAGCAAAGGATTAAGAACACTTGCTGCACTGCTTTGAGCTCAGGGCCTGGCATGTAGTCTCCACTAATAAAGATTTTTCTCTCTCTCTTTCACCAAACATTAGTACTAAAGAAGTAGAAAATTCACGTTCAAAGAAAAAGAACCTCAGCTTACTTTTCTTCCTGATTTCAACATTATGTTGCTCAGACAGTTCTACAAAAGAAGCTGAGAAAGCTTAAGAAAAACAACCCCCCCACACCCATCCCCACCTAGAGAGCTCCTAAGGGAAGGCAGAAACAAATTCCCCAGCACAGGCCACTCTAAGGTTCAGCCTTTTGAAGACCACACAGTGCTTGCTTATAAATAGAATATTAAAACAAGCGAGAGCAATTTTCTCTTTTCGTCTTCCCTTATTGCCTAATTTCCCTCCCATCCCATTTGCATAATGGATAAAAAGGTCCATTATGCAAATGAATGATAGGGCAGTGAGGCTGCTACAGCCACAGACCTCCTCTGTGGATGGGGAAGCTGCCACGGAGCCCTGGGCTGTCCACATGCATTCCAGAACATCGCGTCACTAGCTGGGTTTCCAAAGAATAGAGGAACATCAGGAAGATTAGAGGTCATAAATTTCCACTTGGTTTATTATAAAAGCGGCACCACAGATGCTTTCCAGAAGATTAGTACCAAATATGGATATTCAGGATTGTGGTATGTAAAATAAACTTTCCAGTCAACATTTTGCTTCAGATGGGAAAAAGCCGGCTCTCTGCAGGACTTCTGTGATTTTAAGCGTACACTCTGCTTTGCAAGGGAAAGATTCCCCTCGCACAGGAGTAAAAGCCTCTGTTCTTCTACCTGGAGAATTAACCTATCTAACAGGTGCTCAGAGCAGTCTCAAAACATATGCACACCTTCAATAGGAATGAAAATTTGTTCTAAGTACCAAAATGTTAGCGGATTTTCAAAAGATTCATGCTGTGAAACTGACCTAAATTTACCTCCGAGAGGTATCACCAAAAACTGACATTGATTTTGGAGGTGTAAATTCACTGAAACTTGAGAAGAATGTTTATTTTTCTCCCAATGCCTTCAAAACAAAAATGAGGAATTCTGAACAAAATTATTGGGTGGGTTGTTCTTGTGTGAATAAATCAGTAGGCTAGAATTAAAAGACTAACTTCAAAATGTTTTCCTGGAAGTCTGAGATACATAGTCTGAGGAGAAAAAGAAGGTGGTTGAAACAGAAAGTGACCTTTATTCCTAGTCTGGATTCCTTGATAAATGTTAGCTTTTACCAAATGACACTTTTCAGAGAGTTTCTTTTTAAGTGATCCCCCTAGGGTACAGATGAACCCCATCACTTACAGACCAGCCTGTCCTGTAGGATACTTCAAGACCTCGCAATTCAGATCCACCCGTCATTCAAGGAGAAAACAAAACAAAACAAAACAAATGCATCCCCTTGTCTGAGTGTCCACAGCTACAAAGAGCTATGTAAAAATAATTTAAAGACAAACCAGATTTTTCAAGAAAGATACTAAGAGGATAAGTCATCTTGTAGAAGCCACTCATAATCAGCAAGATGATGTATTTCAAGCAAGTGAAGAACATAATAGTGAAGATACACATACCTAATTTCAGAGCAGAAGGGGTCACTTCAATTTCCCCACCAATTGGTTTAAACGCAGCCAACTGGGCAGCCACTTCCGTCTCAAAGGCATCTGGGCTCTGCCGGCCTGCAGGGTTTCCGCTGGGGCTCTCAATCTTGTGGAGTGGTTCTTGTTCATCAAACACAGCAATCAGCTACAAACAAATCCAACCACACTAATTACTTTGAATGGCATGCATAGCACACAACACTGTTTCTAGCTGATTGTGATCTTTCTTGGATTTTAAGGAAAACAGCCTCTGAAACTGTGTAACTTGAATGTTACTGTACCACAACTCCCAATTCAATATTACGTCTGAAAGGACCGTGGCAGGACTTCACTAATGGTTTGTCTATTCTTGAAATAACCTATTTTGGCTAACTCCCTTGAAGGAAGGAAAAGGCTGCCCCTCCCCTCGCCACCTTTTCCAATATGCCAAAAAGGACTTCAGTATTTTTTTAAGACGGTTTCCAGAAATAAAAGTTGAATATGCAAAAGCTGAACAACAGATCTACAAGGTAAAAGAGGACATTCCAAACTCAGAGAGCTAAGATATTCTGAAATCCATAATCATAGCTGCCCTTTTAGACACAGTCACAACAAATGAGCGTGCATATTTCCATACAATGTGTTCACTTTGTGCACACAGATATCCCCTTTTGATACATCCCTTTAAATTTGTTCTCTTCCTTCATGACGCTATGTTGACTGGTTTAAGTCCAATGAACGTCAAGTCCAATGAGACTACACATCAGCACTTCTAACCAAATTATTTCCATCTTTGTCTCAGTGTTGTTTCATATGAGAACTGTTTCTTGTCATTAATATAAAAACATTTAATTGTCCACTTCCAAGTCATTTTTCATAAAGGGCAAGATGTCATAAAATATTCATTGCACAAACACTGCTGTACAAACAGTGAGGACAGTCCTGCTGAAACTGTATTTTTGGCCAGCAGACAGCACCACCATAGAGAGACCTCGCACACTGCTCATCGGGTGTTCGGGAGAAGTCCAAATGTGAGTGTAGGAAGCACCAAGGGGATGCTACTGTCAACCCGACAAAGAACAGTGTGTGCAAATCTGAAAACTGCTAGTAAATCTTCAGCTATTTTTCATTCATTAAATAAAGCAAACCTACTTGTGATTCAAACATTTATTCAGAAAAGACACTCGAAGGTCCATTCAGAGGGGAACCTTGTTAGCAATAGTATTAATAACACAAATGCAGGCATAATCAATCAAAACATCATAAATTCCAAGTTCAGTCTTTCAAAAGAAATGAATACAATTAGGGATATGCAAATTGACTATTCAAAAATAATTTTCATAATTGACTACTCATTTCCAGTATGGAGACTTCTTTAATTGGAAAATCCAACAATCCTCTTACCACAGGAAAGAAATGCTACTCCCAAGGCATTATTTTTAATTCTTGAAATTGAGCACATACATTTCCTATTTTTAATTGGCAGTACTGATGAACTGATTTGAGAGGCTTAAATAGATTAATAATGAAAGATTATTCTAGTATAAAAATAATCAGTAGATCTGTATCTTTCTAATCATCTGGTCAGAGTGAAGAGTTTAACACTTTCAATCTTGTAAAGGAAAATAAAATCAATTTTTAAAAAGTGCTGGAAGTGTCATTTTTGTCACTTTTTTTGTGACATGATTAGAATTTCAGTTTTGCGTATTGGTGAGTTCTAACACATCTGAGTGACATTTATTTTAATTGCCAATCGGCGAGGCAAAATGGCTTATTATACTGGTTCTATGAACACTTGTGTGTAAGTTAAGACTAGTACCTTACTTCTTCTCTTGCTACATCCTTAACTACTACTATATGCACTGTGCCTTAAATATTGGGGAAAAAAGATAAAAAACATAATAGCATCTAAAGCACAATACAGAATCTTAAAGCTGAAAACTCATAAATCATTACTTATATCTGTTATATAACCCTTCCTCCTCAAGATACTTTACTGTTTTCCACACTATCCTATCAAACAAGTTTATAGCATATGGAATGACAATGGCACACCTATGTAGCAAATGAGAGAACACTGCAGTTCAGAGCTTCTGTTTTCCGAAAAGATAGACTAAAAAGTAATTGATACAAGAATCTAGTCTTTTTAAATTTTCCATCCAGGGTTTCAGACCACAGGGTGACTGTTTTCCAAAAAGAAAACTTGTACAAAGAGAGGCTCTGCTGTCAAATATACGTGGTTTGTCCATTAGGAGGTTATGTCCTAAAGAATATGCTGGACACAGAAAACGCAGTATGTGATTCTTCCCAAAGATGATGCTAAGAAGAACTGGAGCAACCCCCGAGTCTCACAATCTGTCTCCCAGTCTCGTGGAGGACAGGAATGATCTCCACGGAGTCTACTCTGGGTGTGAGGATGAATGAATGAATGAGTCTCTACTCCTGGAAAGAAGAGGTTCAGTTCCTGACTCTGTGGTCCCCATAATCCGCGATCTTTTCACACAGCCATTATCCCTGATCAAAACTCCTGTCCGCACAGATGTCCATCAGTATTTCGGCATCTTATCCCCAGAGAGACACAGGAAGGTTAGTCCACAAATACACTATTCCTTCTCCCACTCAAAACAAAAATAAAAACGAAAAACAAAAAGGCTTTAACAACTTTTTCAGGACCCCTACAGATACCATACCCATTTCTCAACTTTCCTTGAAAGCAAAATCTCAAACAGCTGTCCACAGAGCAATTTCCAATCTCCCTCCTTCCCATTCCTTGCTGAGACCACACTGGTCAGGCTCTTGCCCCTCTACTCCACAGAAACTGTTCTTATCAAGGTCAAAAACAATCTTTAGGTAGCTAAATCCCCCACTTTTCTGCTTTGACTTTAGGACACAGTCAATCACTACCTTCTTCCTTAAATTATTTTCTTCACTTGCCTTCCCGGACATCCTCAACTCTCTAGGCCCTCCTTTTACTTATCCTTCTTGTCTCTAAAAATGTGAAATATGTCTAAATTTTTTGGGGGGGCGGGCACCTTGTTTGTCTCATGGCATAGATGTAAGTATCTGCTGATAAATTCCAAACTTAAATCTTCAACCTGGAGATGCTTCTTGAACTCCAGGATCATAAGATCCACTGTCTAACATAACATGTGAAAAACTGACCTTCCAAAGCTCTTTCATAATCTTTATACATCCCAATTAACAGCACTCCATTCTTCTAATTGCTCAGGATAAAAACCTCCTATTAATCCTTGATGCCTTTTTCCCTCCATTCCTCCCTATCTCTCATGCACCTCACACACACCAATTTGCCAACAAATCTCAAAATACAGTCAGAGTCTAACTGCTTCTCACCCCTCCATTCTCACCACTTTGGACCCCACTTCCAGTCTCTCCCATGGATTATGGCAACAATTTCCTGTCTGGTCTCGTCGTTTCTACCCATGCTCCCTTTGGATTGTTCTCAACACAACAGCCAGAGTGACCCTACCGAAACACAAGGCAGGTCATGTCTCTCCTCTGGTCATTTGTTTTCTCATGTCACAGTGAAGCTCAAGTCCTGGCAATGGACTTGGGTCCGTGGGCTCCCTGTGAAATTTCTGACCTCATGTTCTGAGTACATTCTCCCCTGTTCTTGGGATTCTATTCAGCTATGACTTCTTCTTCTTTGCCCTTGACTCAGTATCTTTGTATTTGCTGTCCCTTCTGCTGAAGCAGTCTCCCCCCGGACACCTGCATGACTTGCTTCTCCATCCTGCCCATCTTTACTCAAACGCCACACTATCTGCATTGCAACAACACCACCACTTCCCATCTTCTCTTCCTTTTCCTTTGTAGCATTTATCACCCTCTCGATGTTTCATCTCTTCTTGTTTGTCTTAGTTATTGCCTGTCTTCTCACTGTACTAGAATATAAGCTCCAAGAAAACAGTGATTTTTGTCTTTTTTATTGTATCCCTGTTGCCGAGAATGGTGAGTATACACAGCAGGCATTGAACATATATTTGTTGGAATAAAATGAGTTAAGTGAGGCCAGAATAGATAGTAACCCCTAAGATAGCAACAGGATAAAAGATACCTGGATTTTTTCATGTGTTTTTAGAATCAACATTCAAATTATTATTTTTTGTTAGAAATGAATGAGTACATGAATGAACACATGTACAATGAATACATTCCTGTAAGATCCTTCGAGCGTCATTATCATTACGGCTGTTGTTTCGATTTGGTTATTATGGGGGAGAAATTCCTCATTTTTCTATTCAACACTGGGAGAAATTGCTTCTGCCACATCAAGCTCCAAAAATAGAGATGATGTGTGTTCTTTTTTTCTTTTTCAGGCTCTATTTTGAAAGGGAGAATCTGTTTCTTCGGTGTCTGCAGGAGCGGGAGTGTTGTGCTAGGGGTGCGTGGCAGATGGAGAGGGAGGTAAGGTTAGCAGCCTGGCACCAGGCACTCCCTTGCCCACTTTCCTCCAAGATGCCACTTGGATGTACCTGGTGTCAAGCTTCCAGATGTGTGCCCCAACGTAGCTTAAGAACAAATGTAAAAAATAGACCTCCAGGGTAGTGGGGGCCTAGCCTGAGTGGGCAGACCATAAGCTCACAGCCGAAGGGCTCAGATTTCAAAATTCATGTCTTACTTTTTGTATTCTACCAGCTTTCTGTTCTTGTTTCAAAACAGATTTTAATCTTAATTAATAGATTAATCTTAATTAAAAATAGATTTAATCTTAATTAATAGATTAATTTGTATTAATCTTTAATAAAGTTTTTCTCTTTAATTGCCAGTAAAATTAAGGCACCCAGAAGAGGTACAGTGTTTGTCCCTGTGTTTCATACCTCTGTGAGGTCGAGGTGGAGTGTAATTCTCAGGAACACACCTATCCTCTAAACAGGACTTAGGAAAACACGGAAGGAGAAACACATTAATGTAGTGGGTCCAAATTATATTCACTAGCTAGATCTCAGTTGTGCATGTGGATGGTGTTTGCAATTCAAAGATGAGGCACTGGTTTTGGTAACTTCAAGTGTCCCCTGCCCACGGCTGAAGGTAATGTCACCCATAAACCTCACATTAGAGAATACTTCCCTCTTTTTCTCATACTCACCTTGTAAAGGTTAAAATAATGAAAAAGTCAACAACGAAAAACTCAAAGATGAAAGG